TTGAAAGCCTAGCGTTATCCCGCTTGACCGTGACCTTGGGTCGCAATAACCGCGAACGAGTGTCGCGGTGCACGTGGAAAACGGTCTTTCGTCCGTTATGCGAAATCATAAATTTCTCTTCGTTCTCTGTTGGCGAGGTATGTTTATGTGCCTACCCCCCGCCGGAAAGCTACTTGTATGGTACGCGAGCGTCCCACGTTTTGAAAACAATTTTTCAAGCGACACTGGGTTCAGATGGCGTAAATCGGTGTTTAAACATCGAGTTCACATCCCCGCGTTTTTTCGTGACTCTCATTCGATGTAAGCGTAGAATACACGGTAAATTTATCGTGTAACGGCGATTTCGTAACTTAATTATTATATACGCGAATAAATATTGCGCTGTGTAGGCATCAAGAGCGAATCGATCATAATAATTACATATTGCTTTCCTTACTTCAAAATTGACACAGTTAAAAAATCGTTACATTATAATTATTATCATGAATAAATATTACCATATCAATAGTTAAAAATAAACTAACATATGTAACTTTATAAAAAAAGTCACCAAACTGTCACAACTCAAAAAGAGTAATTTAAAAAAAAAATCATTACCACAATTCAATTACCACTCTTCCCATTTTTTTGTTGTTGATTTTTTCCGACTGATATATGTATCTATATTTAAGCGGAAGATGCTACTGCATTGATTTTCGTCACTTTCAATGCCGGTTAAATCCGTGTGTCTCATAAGTAACATTAATTCTTAAATCACTCATTATCCAATTACCTTGGACCTTTCTAACGAACCGCGGGGACGTGTTAATTAAAAGAGACTACCTCGGTTGGCATTGCGAATTAAAGAAACGACTCGGACATCCCGTGGTGTCGTCAGTATAGTTTCGTTCATGTTGCTCCTACTTGTTTCTATGGAGCATCTTAATTAGCGGAATTAGTGGAAAATGAGACTTGAAATTGTTTCCACATTGTTAATCCATATATGCGCTTTAATATCAGCAATTATCGAAAGAGTTTGCGGAAAAAAATGCTTAATCTACGAAATACATCAGCGGGAGAATATCGGATTTAGTGTAATCACTTGTTTATAACACCAAGTAATTTTTGCAAAGATTACAAGACGTTTTTCTTATTAACTACTATAAAGATTCCAGACTAATGATCATTACGCAAATAGATTTCGGAAAATGCATTTATGTCGAAACGAAATCCAAGATAAAGGACATTTTGTACGCCGAGGATCGTACCTGTGTTTCTTACACAATGTTATACCATCGCGTCGTGGCGCATATTGGTGCACTTTATACTAGGATTTATACGCATGTAACGTGGTAGACGAGATAACTGACTGTTTGTAAGAATTTTTTTTTAATTGAATGCTATTTGCCTTAACTGAATGATTCTCTTATAAGATTCTCCTACAACGTCAACTTTTCATATATTTACAGATAAATTACTGCATTTTTAATTTTTAATTTTAATACATTCATCTACATAGCACCGCATATCATACCTGGAATGAAAGTCGGATGTGAAAAATATGTGTAGGGATCAAAATATTCGTCACAAATGAAAGCTATATAAATCCAGCTTTTAGAATTTTATATTAAAAAAATTTATTCTGATTCTCTAAAATAATTTTCATTTTTTTCTCGAATATAGTTTTATAATCTTTTTTCACTGTTATATTACAAATTAATTTTAAACTCTTCAAAGTAACTGCTTCAAAGTAAATATTCCAAAAGCATACCTTAATTGTCTATACATTCTCGAAACTAGCTATTAAATTCTTCGTTTATAAATAAATTTCTTAACAGGAATACATATTTTTGCTAAAAAAATAATGGCCTCTTGAAATTCACAAAAGTTTTTGTGTTATTAGTTTCAAAGGAATTTTTTATATTCAGAACTGTGAAAAGTAAGATTGTGAAACATAAAATTATTTCAAATCCTTTCTATTTAAAAATTAGAAGTCTTCGGGTTACCAAAACCCATACATTCCAACAGGTTAATTAAATCGTTTTTCTACATTATATCATATTATGACGTATTTTCAATTTTAAACATGATGCAAATTTAGTCAATTAATTATTTATTTTATGTTTAAATGTTACGAGCAGACATACGAGTATGCGTTCCGAATTGTATTGTAAGCATTTATAAATTCCACTTCATCATACAGGATTTTTCAATGACAAGCAGTTACTGAGAAAAATGACAGTTACACGAAGCGTGCGTTCCAGGTACATCGTGAAGTTGTGCGTTCAAAACACTTCCATACCTCGTAAAAAATATTGGCGCGAACAAACCAATGCCAAGAACCGGATCACTTTGCAATCGGCGCAATGCGGCGGTCCCGTAAGTAATTGTCATACGGCTGTGAGTTTTAGTTAATTGAATCGCTGAGTAGTATATCGACTCGTTGATAATTAATACACTTATGCGAAATATTTCTCGCTTTAAGTTCGACCATGCGCAAACACCTAATTTGTGATAGGACCTTTAACTCGCCAAGCAAAAAAGTAAAAGATCAATACAAGCGACAAGGTAAATGTAAATAATCTTGAACATGAATAACGAGCTCATAATTCACACACACACATTACGAGTATTGGTTATTAATTCAATCTTAATTAAATATGCAAAGAAGCTTTGCATATTATTGCAAAATTCACCCATCTAAAAATTTGATATTGTGTGATTTAAAAAATATATTTTAATTTATTTCAAAGAAAATCTATAGGGTAAGGTTGCTGAAATCGCATCACTTTTTACTTAAAGGCTCATAACTCAGAAATTATGAAGAATGTTCTTAAATTTTTTACAGCATAATAAACTGTACTCTTTTCCCTTTCTCATGTAATTTTTTCATAATTTTTTTGCGCTATTATAACGTTTAAAATCAAGATTTTTTTAGTATGGTGCAATTTAGGCAACGAAGAAATTCGTTGCCTAAATCGCACTACACCAATATTCCTCATTTAAAACATTATGATAATGTAAAAAATTTAAAAATTACATAAGAAAAGGAAAAAATTGTATCTTATTATGCTGTTAAAAATTTAAGAATATATTTTTCGTAATTTCTGAAATACATGATAATTTCAAGAAGTAATTTAAGGAGTTTCTATGTGAACAAAATAAACACTCTCTCTCTCTCTCTCTCTTCGTAGATTTACAATATACATTTTTACATAATAATGAATGGAATAAAAATGTAAGAAGTGGAAAAATATTAGGTAACGTGCGATTTAAGAAGTTAGAATATGGTGCGATTTAGGAAACTAGAGTATTTTTTGAACTTTTGTTTATTTTATCTATAAAAAAAATGTAAAGCAAACTTTAATCCTATTAATTTAATTTTAATAATATTCTAATGGTCAAGACTTAGGCTATTTAACTTATATTTTCTGTAATTCTGCTATGAAATACGTTGAAAAATAGCAACGCTATCACGATTTTTTTATTTATGTAAATAACAAAGCTCTTGTTGCACTTCATGTCACGAGTATAATAGAGTAGCATTACAGTATCATGTAGATCTTAAATAACCCGTAAGAAAGTATATAAATACAATAATTGAATTTTTAAGCGAGGTAGTGCGATTTAAGAGCCGGTGCGATTTCGGCAACTTTACCCTATGAACATGTATAATAAATCTAAAAATTGTTCGCTTAGGAGCAATTTGATTTCATAATCAAAGAACTTCACTTAAGTTATATTATTTTGATATAGCTTACTATATTATTAATGCCACTGGGAGACTTTATTAATGCCACTATCTCTTTAAAATTAATTTCAAGAGACATCAGTAGTATCGCTAATTATTTACGAGCTGCTAATGATTATGTGTATGGCGCACAGAAAATTAACATGGTACTCGCATGAACATGTGTACATATTTGTTCTACAGACGATCTTCATTTTATGAATTCTTTCAATGTCGTGAAGAAACATGATCTTTCTTGAGAATTCATTCTATACCAGTTTTATTAATATGCCTTGAATCGAAAACTGTAAAATAGTTTGAAATTTACATAGATCCAATATGTACAAAAGATATGTGTATATATGCGTTTGTATAAATAATTATTTGTAATATCAACTTCCGATATCTCTTTTCTTATTCATAAATTATCTAATATGACTTACAAATTACTTACAAATTAGTTAATTATAAGCGATTTATTGATTCGTGAGATTAATTTAATTCAGATTTGGCACATCCCGATTGCGATCAATTGACGGATTCATTTTGACGTTTTGCTTGATGTTTGCTTATGTAAATTCTCTTTCTCTCTCTCTTTCTCTTTCTTGCCTATAAAATGTACAACTCACGAAATTTTTGCATTGGTCTCATCTTACATTGCATTACGTAAGAAAAAGTGCATGATCGCTCGCAGGAACCGCGATAAGTTAACATTCCGCGCTTGCATAACGAAAGTAGCACTCGCCCGCGACGCCGACGTTTATTGTGTATCTACATGTATCCGCGAGGTATACTCGATGTAAGTATAGCGGGCACGGGCTAGATAACGACGTTATCCTTGACTCCAGCCACGTACACAAGTCGACACGTTGCACGCGCCGTCTGTGAATGCCACTCTGCATACGAAGGTACACGCGTTGAGTTTTCGCGTGAGCCGGGTTTGCCAACCGATATTACTGATCTTATTGCTAATAAAATAACAAGCGTGTAATTATTGCATTATATGCTGTATATTATTTTTTATCATTATAAATCTCATAGTATTCTTTATAGGGGCTCGATGAGATCACGCTAGAACATTTCGTATCCATTAATTTTCACGAAATGTTTTATTGTCCAACCGTAGAGCCTCGTAAAATCGAGATACTTTAAATAGCAATAGACGTTCGTAACGGACGATGGCAAGAAACTCTCATCTACCACCGGATCCATCGACTACGCCCTCGTAAGAACGCGTTATCGACCTCTCGGGGTCCGATCGCTCGTAAAATAGCAATACGCGGGGGCTTACCAGCAGGAGAAGCACCGTGCTCGTGGCGGCCGCGTCGACCGATATGCCGCACGCCATTTCTCGCGCTATCGAACGAGGGGGTTGCCCGTTCTCCTCTACCAGACCATCCTGGACGCGTCGTCAGCTCGCAGCTCCTCAGGTTCGCGCCACTCGTGGAGGGACGACTCTTTGGAAGTCGAAGCCCGATGATCACTTCTTCACGTCACACAAAGGAGGAAGGGAAAAAAAGGATGAAAATTACCAATCACGTCCTCCCTTAAATCGGACTGCCCTTCTCCGCGACTCGCGACTCCCAATGAGAGGACACGCTCGTTCGGAAATTCGCTGATAGCCGTGATAATAGACGATTTAATGATACGCCAAGTTATTTCTCTCGGAGGTCCGATCGGAGGTCGGATTACGGTCGGTCACATTCGCTCTTGATCGCTGCTCCCCGCACGTTGCTAGCCTTTCGCCGCTCTCTGATGCCGATTACCGTTGATCGCTCACACGATCGCCGATCTCGTAACGAGGACGTGAAGGACGCTTTCTGTCGAGGACAACGCGGATCGGTTCGCGATGGCCCGTGGCTAGTTCGACGCGTCGTCGTGTAAAAGATGACGATTATACGCTCCTAACCGTAGCACAGGGCTCGGGCAACTGACAGCGGGTCAGAGCCGCGGCACACGGCGCCACGCCGCTCTCACAGCTGATCTGAGAGAGCCGATCGCCTCTATCAGCGTCCCCCTCTTCCTTCCTTCGCGAGGGGGCATGCTCTACCCTCTCTCTAACGTGCGATTCTCAATCTCTGCACCACGCCGCCGTCGTGCCGTCAGACACTCCCTCCTAGACCCGGTTCCATTAATGTAAGATTAACTTTAATCTCAGTTTAATTTACTCTTTATTCTAAGAATTAGAAAAAGATAAATAGTAAAGTTAATCGAGACTAAATTAAGTGAATCTTTGGTAGAATCGGGCCCTAAAGACTCTACAATCAGAATCTGGCCACGAGATGACAAACTTTAGATTAGTCCGTCACGTCGTTTCTGTCAACTTTAGTATTTAAGTTAAAATGGATAAGATAACATGTTATGAAATTAATGCGATAGCATGTATAAAAAAGACAATATGTATACTTGTTTCTCAGTCTTGTTTGGACAAAATTGTTCGTGACCAGACTCTGTTATAAGATCTTTACTCTTTTCGATTTCATCCTGATTGACTCCAATCTCGGATTATGTTAATATCTCGAATACCTGGAAACAACGAATAGATCGAGCAAGAGAATATAAAGGATACATATATTGTTGACAGATTTGAGGGAGTTTCCGACAATATATCTTAATAGGATATATATTTTTATTAAAGATTAAGAGTTTTTCCTAGAGTGAGGAATTTTTTGAGTCGCTTCTTTGACGGGATTCTTAAGTCTGCTATTTCTAAAAATACAAAATAACAATGGCAAGACTATGGATCGCATTGAAAAATATCTTTTTGGGATGTTGAATTCAAAATCGCTTAATAAGGTAAATATCCCAATAACTAAACTAATAAAAAGATATGATCAGTTCTATATTATTATTGATTGCACTGTTCGGCGCGCGCGATAAAAAATGACCTTTTTCGAGAACGAGACTAATCATTTACTAACTTAATGGTTTTTTAAGCCGCTGAATACGAATCCGACGTTAAATTTAAATAAACAAAAAATTGAAAGAAACAAAATTTAAAAAAACAACTATATATTTGATAAATCGTCAATGACCTAATTCATAGCTTTTCCGTAACAGACTCCAAATTTAACCATGAATATCCTAAATATTATATGGCCTTAACCATAGCCAATAACAAAATCTTCTTTAAGATTAAAAGTTCTACTATTATCTCTTCTTTTAAATATGCGATTTTCTTTTACTATTATTGACAAATATCTTAATAATTATAAATATATTGTTGATTTTTCAATAACTAAGCACACTGAGTTATTGAAATATTTACCTTATGCAAACTTAGCAGAATTAATTGTCATCGTGCATATTTTTATCATTTTTTAATCCTTTCTATACTAATGCTAATAATTAATTATTTTCTATGTGGCACAAAACTTCCAAATTGTCGCTGTCATTACAAAATTATAAAAAAGTACGATTATTGGTCGAAAAGACGTTTATACCTACTCTTTCACAATTGAACGTGCGCGAGTCCGTTTGTCGCCAGCTCAGTTGGAGAAAATGTGATGATAATTAATGGTCGCGGAACAATTCATAAATATTAATGCAAGCGTTCGTATGTTACGCTTACGTCCCGGATTTGCGGATATCTCGCTGTTGGTTTTACGAGCTTGCAAAAAGAATGGCGTATTAAAGCATGTTAATTAGTCGTATAGTACATGCTCGTTACCGTAAACTGAAGGTCACGAGTAAACCGTCGGTCACAGACAGGCGACGCTCTCTCTATAAAACCTCCGCATTCTGGAAATACACGTGCCCTTAACGACCACACTTCAGCTTTTTATCATTCATATATGATCCTTTAAATTTTAATTAAATTGTAACTCAAAGCCTTAATTAACAAGAATATGTTTAATGCCGAGATTAATAATTTTTGAAAAAAGATGATATGAAATCTCAAAATTACATCAATAAAAAAATATCTCGGAAGGTCATTTTGCAACATATGATAAATCTTACGAAATATCTCGAAAGAAATAAGCGAGTGAGTGAATCAAATGTTCTGTGTTGCTCACAGGATGGAATAACCAATAATTTAATGACTAATTGTAAGAACAATTTTCACACGGTCATTTTTGGCACTATAACTCTGTTATGTAACTGTAATTTTTTATTGTCTATTTTTGTTTTTATGTTTATGTATTTTAAATATATAACAGATTGTTATAATTGATTCGAGACGAGAGAGAGAGAGAGAGGGAGAGAGGAAGAAAGAGAGCAGTCATCGAAAGATATAATAGATAACCCTCTCTTACGAAATCATCCTACGGGATAATTTCGACCCTAATCTTATCAGCCGTACCCTTTCAAGAGTACGTATGTATTTCTTTGAGGTTGTAAAACATTTAATCATTAATTAAAATTTCATCTTTATAAAATTATATTAAAAAGGATTGTGTGTGTGTGTGTGTGTGTGTGTGTGTGTGTGTGTGTGTGTGTGTGTGTGTGTGTGTCAATAAAAATTATGTCCTAGAAATTTTATTTTATTAAATATCTATATATTTAAAAACAAAAGAAATACATCTCCTCTCTCTCTTTCTCCTCCTATCCTTTTTTAAAAAATGTACATCTGTAATCTTTTCTTATGAACCAGATTTGATGACCCTGTACGAGATGGAAAATCAAAAGATCGAGGATGCGGAACTGGTAGCGGGTTCGACGTAGTAAAATTCTCGAAACGATCATCCGTTCCGGTATTTCTCCGAGCATTACGATAGAGGATGATGACGACGATGACTGGCGGGGAATATAAAGCGATTTAACGAAATCCTTGTGCAACGGGCGCGGATGAATAACCGACCTTGCAAACGAGCGGGACGACCTTCGTGGTGGCGCGCTCTCACGAAGACAAGAATATATCCCGCCTTCTTCAGGTTTTTCACGCCGGATGCGGATCACGAAATATCTTCAACGCGACTCAAGTTACATAGGGCTTTTGGACCGCGTTTAACGCTCGATCACGTACGGTGTGAGTGAACGTGGGATGTACGTATCGTTCAGAACGTCATTCGATGATTAACCACGGGCAACTTTATTGGCGCCGTCTCGACGCTTCGCGATTTTATTTTTACTTAGCTACTGTTTATTTTTGTGAAAAAGGAACGAGGGAAGAATTTTTTCCGAGTTTAAAATTTTAGTGACTAAAATGTCACTAAAATTTTATACCCTAAAAAATTCGTTTAAGATTTAAAGTCACTTAGAGATTGAAGTCACTGCTTTGAAGAAAAGTATTGATATATACTGGAGATCGATGCTCTTTTCGTGATGCTGGCGTATCTCGCAAAGATCGTTGCGCCGACAGAGAGATTGAGGCTGCTTCGGAGATTGTATGCAGCGCTATATGGTATATTCCGTACGCACGGGCCGCTAAATTTTCCCTTTATCTGCATTATTCGCGTGCCTGTGCTCGTCCGGGGCCGGTGCATTTACTTGCGCGGGGCCTTCGCAGGAATCCAAGCGACGGGTCTTATATCGGAGGTCAGCCGCGATCTAGGAATATCCACGCGCGCATTGTTCCCGCGCGAACGCCGGCATTGTTTCATGATTTCGCCGGTGAAAGGTCAAGACGAGTACAGGAGGACCGAGGATCCGCATCTCGCGCCTGGTGAAGTAAGAGAAGTTTCTAAGTGCCCGGCAAAAATTGCGGTGACCGAGTGCTTCAGATACCATCGCGCAACGCGATAATATTTTTAACCGTACCTACACGATGAATTATTACAGATGTGTAAATTAACACTCGTACAGTCTGTATCGTTGTAAAATAAAAATAATCGTCGTAATTAATTTATCAGAGGATGAAAAAAAAAAACGATTTATGATTGAACAAAAAGATAAAACTTAATAATCTCTTATCATATAAATAAATATAATACAGCAAGAATAAATATAAAATAAAAAAACAATATGAATACAGTATGAATAAACGACCTTAAGAAATAATTTTATTTAATTGATGTGTGGGAGGGACAAAGAAGAGAGGGTGGATGAAGAATAACAAACATTTCTTCCTGTTTAAACATGCGGCGCGGTATCGTCGAAAAGTTTGAACAAGGGCCGTCAGTCTCGCCTACGGTCCAGTTCCACGTTGTAAAAACTCGTATTTATTCTCGGCGCATTCCTCGCGTCCGTGCGGACAATGTAATTGCATTCCGCAGCGACTACAATGTACCTGTAAGTCACTCGGCTCTCTTACGGAGATCGGGAAAAATATTGATCTCCGCGAAAGAGGATTTATCTGAAGACAAAGTTAGGGTTTTAGTTCTCATGGGATTCGTAAACATTGCGTTCGATATACGCTATCCTTACATATAACGCCAGTTTTATCTATGTTATATACATAGATAGTACTTTCTCAGATTTCCTTAGTTATATAGTCTCATAAAAATAGTTGCTTTCGTTGCCGACACGCGCAGTAAATGTCCTACTAGCCAACACTTAGGAAAATGTAAATTTAATAGTTTAATTTATTACCTCTTATCTGTAACTGCTACTGAATTCATAATATATGACTAGAAAAAAGTGATTTATAAACTGAGATTTATCTCTTATTTTAT